TACCCTAACACACGAAAACATATGATCAATACACAGGGATGGGTGATACAGAACCTGTCGTCTTCATCGTTCCAGCAACGACCACTAATAACGACACGCAACAAATCCCTCGTACGATGTGGTCCCCTTACAGCACCTTCTCTGAAAACCAAAATCAAAATGCCCCACCGTATGATAGTCACACAATCCTCCAGTCACTGACTCACATATAAACCTCCAGTCAAAAATGACAACCAAGCTCAATTTGGTATTTTCGCAGATTTGGGGGAATTCGATAACGTAAATCCCAACAAAATAGGGTTTCAAACAACAACACACATTCAATGTAGGAACGGTTCATATACGCGTACCCGTTTATTTGCGTGTGTTACGAGTCGAATCCAGGTAAAAGGTGGTCCATTGCTCTGTGTACCACGCGCCTTCCACTAGCCCACTAAAACAAAAACAATAAAAAAGTATAAAAGCCCTTAGTGTACTTTCACAATGTGTGTCACAAATCCACGTGCACACCGTTGCACATTCTCAATAAACTCGAGGCTCAAATATCACGTAAATCACAGCTGTAACACTAATCAACAAAAACCAGTGGCAATTCCGTCTTTTTCCAACACAAAGGACTAAATGGATCACAAGAAAAATTTTGGAACTAAATGGAACACAAGTTCAACATTTAGGATTTATGGGTAATTTTTCCTAAAATTTATGAAATAATAAAATAGATAAAAATAGTTAATAAGAAAAAAAGTTACATTTTATTTATAATTATTTTATTTTTTCTCTTACAAACATTATATCTAATTATAAAAAAAGTTAATTACTTTTTTAAACACACAAATTTTAATCTATTAAAATAATCAAAAATTAAAATAACTTACTAAAATAGTTAACTTTTCAGGACTATTATTTAATAGGGGTTGGCTTCCCTCCAGTCGGTGATTGGAGGTTACTATTGGGCTTGTAGAGGCTTGTCACGGGCTTCATTTTGATAATCTGAACTGTTTAATATGTAGAACTCATCGAATATTATACGTCTGTAAAAAATTACGTTGATCGGATATCGATAGCCATGTGATCATATCAGTTTTGTATAAAAAAAATGAACGATAAAAAATAAACAATTGACAGAAATCTAATCTGATAAGATAGCTATCGATATCCGATCAATGTGAATTTTTATAAACATATAATATTCGATGAGTTCTACATATTAAACGATTCAAATTATTAAAATGAGACCTATAATAAACCCTCTTAAGTTCAACAATATCCTCTAAGCGGAGATCCAACTAGAGGGAAGCCTAGCCCTATTTAATAATCCAGAGATTTTGTGGTTGTATCTTTGTGTGATTGATTTTGCCTTTTGATTTGCTATATTATCGTAACTACTGATTTTGTGGGTGATATAGCCAGGTCATTTTCACTTCGCCTACTGTGTAACTTTTAAAACGGTTCACTTTACTCGTTTGTCAAATCGTATGTTAAAATTTGGGGAATGGCTTCCTCCAATTCAATCACAGACGGAAGGGTAAGATTTAAGGAGGTACATCACATATTTTATTTTGATAATTTAAATTGTTAATATGTAAAATTTATTAAGTATTATGGGTTTATTTAGTTTGTATTTCTGAAAAAATTTTTAGAAAATTTTCTCTATAAATAAGTTTTTAAAAGTAATCAAACCAAACAAATTTTTTCAAAAAAATTTCTCAAAACTTGTAAACCAAACAAGTTTTCTAAACAAATCTCTCTCTTACACACATCAAATCAATCACTTTTTCCAAAACTCTCTCTCAAAATAATTTTTCAAAACATCTTTTGAAAAAAACCAAACCAAACAACTTTTCGTACTTTTTATCTCTAAAACACATATCTCAAACACAAACCAAACATATATGTTTGTAAAAAATTATATTGATCTGATATCGATAGGTATGTAATTAAATCAGTTTTGTATGAAAAAATAGACGGTAAAAAATAAATGACTTACAAAAATCTAATTTGATCACATAACTATCGATATCCGATTTAAGTAATTTTTTACAAGCATACAGTCCTCGACGAGTTCTACACATTAATGGTTTAGATTATTAAAATGGGACTCGTGATTACCTTCCATAAGTTCAACAATACCCTTCAATTCGATCACAGACAGGAGGAAACCATTCCTAAAATTTGTACCAAAAAAATAAAATAAAAAATCTTACACCAGAGGAAGCCATTCCTAAAATTTGTACCAAAAAAATACAAAAAAAAAAAAAAATCTTACATTGAAAAATGACAGTATATTTTATGTCAACTCACTTCACTTTGGTGAGTTTTGATATAATGATTTAGATGCGATTTGTTTTCAGAGATATAATGAAAGAGTTTGTTAGGCCTTGTTTGAGATAAATTAAAAAAGTTAAAAAATAAAAAAAATTATTAAAAAAATTAAAAAATCTATACTATTCAAGAGTAGCTTGTAGAGAAGTCACTAGGGTAAAATTATTATTTTGTCATTTGAATTCAACTACTCAAAAAGTCAAAAAGCAAAATGGGTAAAATCGTCATTTTAATTTTTCTACAATATTTTATTACATATCTTTTTGTAAAAAGTCAAAAAATTATTCTAAATATACATTTTTTTTCACTATTTTTTTAACAAAAAAGTTAAAAAATGTACTTATATAACACATTCCAAACAACTATTTAGTGTGAGAATAAAAGAGAGTGATAGTGAGTAGATTATTAGCGAAAAAATTAAGTAAAATTTTGTTTATTTTGATAATTGTTAATATAGAAATTGTTAAATCATTTTTATATGAAATAAATACGTATAAATTATTAAAATAAATAAAAATCATGATTTTTGCTTAACAATAATATTCAAAATGTGTGGCTGGCTGCACATGTTAAAAAAAAAAAAAAAAAAAAATGGGGGGGTTCACTTGAATATTTGTATTGTCAAGAAGTTTAGGTGAGGCCACTAAGTCCGTTGTCTCGGACTCTTAATTTTGAACAAAATTTAGGATCTTCAATTAGGAAAGTGTATCTTATTGTGTTATTTCATAATTATTTTAATATTAATTTAATTTATTTATTTTGATGTTATTGTATGGTATTATTTTGATTCATGTCCGATTGATATTTAATGTGAAAACTTTTATTTTTAGTTAAAAATAACTTAGCAAGTGTATGAAGAGATTAAAATTTTTCCCATAAGTGGAATATTATAAAATTTATTTCTACTAAATGAAATTATTCATAGAATGTTTGATTTTAATTCAATTGTATTTTTCTAATTAAAAAAATTGTACCTTATTACTATATATTTTTTATTAGATTGATTCTAAAATAGGTAACAAACAAATACATATCTTAAATGAAAAAAAGATATTAGCCTTAATTATTATTTGAGGAGTGATGGAGACCCCCTCCAATCGCCACCCTCACCACCCCCACATACATGTGGCAGGTGGTGATTGGAGGATAAGGGAAATAAAAAAAAAAGAAAAAGAAAAAGATAATCCAACCAATGGGAGAGAGAGGGGGTCAAAGGGGGTGAGAAAAAAAGGGGGTCTTAGACATTTTTGTTATTATTTTACATATTTTTTTATTCAGTTAAATAGAGTTAAATAAAAGATTAAAAAATGTCATGGCATCCCTTAGTAAACATTAAAATATATAATTAATAAGTCATATTATTGAGTCATGTCATACTTAGATTCATGTTAAAAAATAGTCAATCCTAACTTACTAATTTTATATATTGCTTGAGTTGTGTCAAAAATTCTCATCTTTACCCCCAATTAATTTTAGTTCTTATAGCATTGGTAAGCTAAAAAATAAATATTCGATTCAACTAATTGAACTTAAACTATTATGTATATATAGAATAATGATTTGTCCCCCTAATTTCCTCCCCCCAAATCCCCCTAATTTCAGAAGAGAGAGAGAGAGAGACAGAGAGAGAGAGAAGAGAAGAGAGGGAAGAGGAGGAGCTCGATCGTCGTCCTCTGCTCGATCGTCGTGTCCGGTAGCCCTCGATCGTCGTCCTCTGCCCGATCGTCGTGTTCGGTAGCCCTCGCCTCTGCCCGATCGTCGTTTCCGGCATCCCCCTCCTCTGTCTCGCCTCCGCCTCCTCCTCCCCGTGGTTATGGCCTCCTCCAGTTCTCCTCCTTCCTCCTCTTTCCTTCTCTTCTCTTCTCTTCTCTTCTCTTCTCCTTCTTCCTTCTTCTTCTCCCTCGTTTCTGATTGAACCAGGAAAAAAAATATATATATATATATATAGAAACGACGTCATTTCTGGGATTAGGGGGATTCAGGAGGACTTTTTTCGAGCGACGTAGCATTACCGGTATATATATTTGTTATCTAAATTTTGTTAAATTATAATGCAATAGAAATAAATTTTTATCCTTTTTATTTTATCAAAATATATTTTTTTAAGATAATGATACATGAAGGGTTCAATTTAAAAAATTCGCCCTAGACCTCTAATAACTCAAGGCCGGCCATACGTGTAGGAGGAGGTTGCGTTTGGTAGAGTTTTGTAATTATGTGAGAGTATGAGTTGTATTTTGAGTTTGTGAGGTTTGGAATTAGGATTTGAGTGTAGAAAATTTGTTTGGTTAGCGTTTTGAAAATAATTTTGAAAAGAGTTTTGTGTTGAGTAGAGAATATTTGATGTGATATTTGATATTTGATACACAAACTTACAACTCATAACTAAACATATAATTCAAAATTATTTTAAAACACATAATTTTTTTTTTTAAAATTCAGAAAATATTTTTTTCGAATATATAAATATTAACATATCAATTGTAAAAAAAAAAAAAATTCACTATTGTGGTCAACTGGCCGGACGACCGATTAGGCCAAATTTTGAAAAAAAAAAATTGGAAAACACGCTCTATTTGATAGAGTTCTCTACAGAGTTGTGAAAAATTAATTCCACAATTCTATCCAAACATCATGCTCAAACCTGTATGCAAAAAACTAGTTTGAAAACATAAACAAAACAGAGCCTTAACTTCAGGAAGTCTCTTTGGGCGTCATGGTTGGGCAGCGTACGAAATCAAGTCACACGACTCAACGACAACTCCACCTGTGACCATCTCAGCGAGCCATCGGCGCTTCGCTCTTCTTCGTTTTCGACCGAGTCAACGATCTCCCTCCCCACAAACTCACCTCATTATTGCCTCTCTTCTTTTTTCTAGAGAGAGAGAGAGAGAGAAACACACACACACAATTCAATTCAATTCAATTCAATTCGAGAGAGATAGAATGGCTTTGTTCAGAAAGCTCATCCAACTCTCCTCCACAGCCAGACAATCATCATCACTTAAGCCCAAGTTGAGTGTGACACCTTCTCTAGCCCTAGCCGGTTCGTTTTGGGGGTTCAGCACGACGAGTAGGCAAGCCGGGTTGGGTCCGACGAAGCCCGACGAGAAGCCGAGGGTGGTGGTGTTGGGATCCGGGTGGGCCGGTTGTAGGTTCATGAAGGGGATTGACACCAATCTCTACGACGTGGTTTGCGTATCACCTAGGAACCATATGGTTTTCACTCCCCTTTTGGCTTCCACCTGCGTCGGCACTCTCGAGTTCCGCTCCGTCGCCGAGCCCATTGGCCGGATTCAGCCTGCCATTTCTTCTGAACCCGGTTCTTACTTCCTTCTCGCCAATTGCACTGGCCTTGATCCCCATAACCACGCGGTAATCCCAATTTTGCCCCTTTTGTGTGTTTTTTTTTTTGTTTTGTTTTGTTTTGAAAGTCTGTTTGGTAGCGGTGATTCTGTAGTGTGGGAAAGGAAAAGAAAAGAAAAGAAAATAAATTGGTTCTGAATTTTTAATGTTTTGTTACAGTGAAATTGGGTAAACAGACAACTATTGACATTGCTTTTGACTTTTCAGAAGCTTCATAAATCAGTAAACAAGTGTAAAACGCTAACATACATGATACTAATTGTATTGGCTTTTAATTTTTCTGAAAATAAAATCAAGTCATGGCACAGTGAACCTTTTCCTTTTCTTTTTCTTTTTCTTTTGCTTAATTTTCTTGTGAATTGGTTGGAGGGGAAAGCTAGGGTGATTGGGGACATTTTATGGGTAGCACTAATAAAGTGAATGAATAGAAAATTGTCACTTGGCGGCACAATGGCTAGTGCTATTCGTCCTGAGTCCTTTGGTGTGGGTTCGATCCATGGAATCAACATATCTACAAAAATGGTATAAATTTGTGCACCTATAACCTCTCCTCAACCCCTGCCATAAGTGGGAGTCTTGTGAATTAGGTATGACAGTTTTACTAATAAGTGAACAAATTAGAGTTTCATGATTATCATTGTGACGGGAACCTTTTCTTCGTAATTTGCAAATCTTTGATTTTGCTTTGGGAAAAGGATTTTTTTTAAGGTTCCCATATGGCACCACATGTCATTGCCCCCACACCAATCATCAATTGTCATCCCTCATATTGTTAGGTAAAATAATAACATAAAAGTGATGGATCAGACTATATAAACCAATCACATTCAAGTTGGACACCACCAAAGTATTTAAAGGCAAATGTGTAACGCAAGTCATTTTACCCCATGTGAGGTGAGACAACCTCTACAAGTCAAGCTGTAAGTATTGCAAATTTTGAATTTTTATATTTAGTAATTAAATAAAATATTTTAAAACAGTAAAAAATATTATAAATGAAATATAAAGATCTAAATACTTTTCTTCTCAAGGTGTTGAACATTTCAATGCAAAGAAGGAAACATGTCCCATCGAAGGTGAAATTGACCTTCTTTGCTTCAATTATTGAGCTTCTTACTTGAGCCTTAGTTTTTTGTTTTTTCTTTGGGGTAAATTACCAATAGATCCTACATTTGAGACTTAGGGGTTGTTTGGGGTGTCTTAAATAAGTACACTTTTTGTCTTTTTAAACTAAAAAGTTGAGGAAAAAATATATGGATATTTGAGTTAACTTTTTGACTTTTTATAGAAAAATGTGTATTAAAAAATTATATAAAGAAGTGTGTAGGAGAAGATTAAAGATGTGTGTTGTACAGCCGTACAATCTGTTGAGCCGAATTGGTGGTAAGAAATTATTGGCTACTTTCGGGCATTGCACTGGACGGTTTTATTCGGCCCGTGGGGCCCATCACGGGTCCCATTTTGATAATCTGAACTGTTCCATGTGTAGAACTCGTCGAGTACTATATACCTATAAAAAATCATATTGATCAGATATCGATAGCTATCTGATCAAATTTATTTATTTTTCAATCGTTACTTATAACACCATCTATTTTTTTTTATACAAAACTGATTTGATCATGAAGTTATTGATATCCAATCAATGTGATTTTTTACAGACATATAGTACTCGACGAGTTCTACACATTCAAGGGTTCAGATAATCAAAATGGGACCCGTGATGGGTCCCCACGGGCCGAACAACACTGCGTGAAAATTGCACTCAAACTGTGCAATTTTGTTCGGCCACACGCAGCACAGAGCTGAACAACAGTGATTGCAGTTGTACTTTTGTGTGAAAAATTAATTTTTTAATTTTTTTTTTTAGTGAATAGTGATAACTTTTTAACTTTTTGAGTAACTTTTTGGCTTTTTATTTTTTTGGGGAGATGCCAAACTTGGCCTTATTATCCATTAAGTCCTATTGATAAATTTAGTAGTCTCTCTGATCTTTATGAATAAATTTACAGTGATAAATTTATCAGTCCTAACCTGGAGGTAAATAAGTCTAGTTAATAGGATTAATTGGTAAGTACCTATTTTCTTTGTTGGTTAGTTAATTTATTTTATTATTTATTTATTTTTTTTTTTACAAATACAAAAGATATTTTTCTTTTTATTGTATAAACCATGTATTAGACTAGCTTAACAATAATCCAAGACAAACACTCTACATGCGTACTCCTCATATTATTTATGCGCAAAAAGTGCAATTGAGGGGCACGCCTCCTCAGACTGTGATGCGGAAGACTTTGGGGAGTATTCCTTCAAAAATAAGTCTCAATGTGTTATACTTGTGCCTCATCTCAAGGGGTGCCTCAATAATGCCTTTAGAGCTTTGAGTACTGCAAATACCCTACAACACCCAAAAACTTCCCCCGGTTGGGAAATTAGGAGAGAAGAAAAGAAGAAAAAGGAGATTGTTATTATTCTGTCTTGTTTGGATAATGAAAGGGGACAAAAGAGAAGAAAATATAGTGCTATCCTTTCCTCTGGTTTGAGATAGATGGTGGAGAGAAAACAAAAGATAAAAGAGTTTATTATATAAGAAATTGGTATAAAAAAAGAACCCAATTTAAAGAAAATAAAAATTAGCGGCAAGTAGTTTTGAGATACCAGGTTTTATTTTTCTATAATTTCTTGGCAACCGGCACAACAAATGGCCATTTTGTTTTCAGTCCTGAAAATAATGATGACGCAATTTAAGTTTTCTATACTAGGTGCATTGCCAAACTGTCACTGATGGAGCAGATAGCTTGGATCCATGGGATTTTAAAATCTCTTATGACAAGTTAGTCATTGCGGCTGGATCTCAACCTTTGACTTTTGGAATTAAGGGTGTAACTGAGCATGCAGTTTTCCTTCGTGAAGTTTATCATGCTCAGGAAATCCGGAGGAAATTACTCCTAAACTTGATGTTGTCTGACGTGCCTGGTATGCTACTAAGATATTGATAACATTGAGAATTCTTTCATCTAATGTAGACTCTTATGGTAACTTCTTCTAATTGGTGTGAGTTGAGACAGGAGTTACTGAGGAAGAAAAGCGTAGACTTCTACACTGTGTTGTTGTTGGTGGTGGTCCAACGGGAGTGGAGTTCAGTGGTGAACTTAGTGATTTTATCATCAAGGATGTACATCAAAGATATGCCCATGTGAAAAATTATATTCATGTTACGTTGATTGAGGTTAGTCAGTTGGAAATTTTTGCAATGGAATTGATCAAACTGATCTTGTTAATATTTTTATGAGGGCACTAAATCTACAGCCAAATTTGATGCTTGCACAACCTTCAATCGAGTTTGGTTGTGAATTTATCATTAACCTATTTTATTGCATTGGGTTGCTACCTTCACTAGAGTTGCTGGCCCCCAATATTGTTAATTTGTTTTGGGAGCCATAAGGGAATGATGTTATTACTACTTATTTGTGACATACCACAGCTGTGCTGATAATGTTTTGAATACCATCGTCTTTACAGGCAAACGAGATATTATCTTCTTTCGATGATCGCCTCCGGAAATATGCGACAAAGCAGTTAGTAAAGGTGAGAGATAATTGACTGGGTAGAAGGATTTGCGAAGACTACAATTGGCTGTCTTAGAAGTTGATTTTACTGCATAGTTTCATATTGAAACTTGAAATATCTCCATTCTAGTGTGCCACATATAAAGGACCTTTTCATTTTGTCAACCCAGAACAAACACACACTCTCTCTCTCTCTCTCTGGTTTTTTTTTTTTTTTTTTATTGCATCTTTGAGATTTTAACCTTTAAGATAAGATGACAATAATTTAATGCATTCACTCAAGTAAAAAAAGTACTAATTTCTGAGACTACCACTTTGTTCAGCATAATAGATGCATTCACTCTTATCTGGAAAATAATAATTTTGAAGTCATTATATCATCTAGCTTTAAATTTTCAAACGCACAACTTTTTTATTTTTTTATTTTTTTTAATTCGTGGATACGGAGGAACCACAGCTGTACCATGCAGTGCCAGGCAAGCCCATATTTTACCTCCAACTTTGGCATTAAGGCATGTAGGACAGCATTCATTGCACATTCTATATCAGTTGGTCTAAAAAATATCATCCTGCATAGGGCAGATTTGATTTGCTTTTTATCATGGTTAGTAGTCTGTTTATGGCTGTTTCTGTCATTCATGTCTTGTGCTGCTGTTTTATGATTGCTGCATGGATGCTGTTACACAAGCTGCATCGTAGCTGAAATAACCTGTAGAGAGAGAGAGAGAGAGAGAGATCACATCCTTGCTGCTTAGCATATTGCTGTACACTCTGATCAGGTTGTTAACTGACTTCTCTTTTTAAGAAAAAATTGTTGATGAATAAATTGTTTCACTAAAAAGTGCCAAAGAGCTTGTTGGAAGAGAGGAACTCTAATTTGTGTGCAGGGGCGTTGGCCCCACCCAACTGCACCAATGATCAAACCTTGGGAGTTGTATCAAGTAGATATAGTGGGTAGGTGTGATAAACCCTATGAGGTATCACATGTCTTGATTAAGGTATGGTTATCTTCTTGTAGAGGTCTTGATATTGTCTGACACTAGTCAAAGTGGAGTCATCACAAGGGGGTGGAACAAACAATATTGATGATCCCTTCAACTCTAGGCATCCACAAGTCTTTGGTAATCCCACATGGGTGATGGGTTGTTTCGGCATCCTGAGGCACTGACCTGCCTAAGCAGACTATATAGCATCACAGTGAGATTCTGAATTTGATCAGAGGTTAGGCGAGGTGTGCCGGTGAGAGGATGAGGCAAGCTGAGGCAAGATGTGCAGCACCTAGTCATGGGAGGAGCAGAGAGTCAACGTGAGGTTCCAAGGTATGCCTTATACTGTGGGTGATGACATGGTTTGCTAGGCACAGATTCCTACTGTGAGTAATTAGTGTGTCAATAATTGAAGTGGTGATTGTGCTATATATTTTGGGAAATAAACATGTTTTAATGTGCAATGTTTGTCATGGGGTGGCTACAACTAGAAATTAGTTACTCAATTGTTTTAATGGAGTTTTGCTACTGTATGGGCATGAATTTTATGTACTAGTGTGATAGGAAAAATGCCTACCCTCTCTTAATTGTGCGTTGAGAACTTTAGATATACACACCTTTGAGATGAAATTATCCTTAATTTGGTACAAGAGATGAACGTGCTGAACATCCACTCACCATTTCTATTGACCTCAGTTTTTCTTGAGGAAACAGAAAATTACAAGCATTACATGTCCTACATTGTTGGTGTGTTATGAAGCATGGATACTTCAAAAAACATGCCGTACCCGTACCGGGTACTTACCGGCGTATGGTACTTCTGCATATGTACAAGATACTCGAAACACGTACTCAAATTTTTTCTTTTTAATTTTTGGCATACCTAGATGTACCTAGTATATACCCAAGCCGTACCGTACCATACCTCAGTTGAAATAATATTTTCTTTTACTATACAGATAAAATTCCTTTCACTAATTTTTTTTTATTATTTTTTGTTTTATGCTTAGCATGATTTTAAAATTAAACTATAATTTGTAAGTTATTTAATATATTGACATTTAATTCTGATTTATATCTTTACTTTTGACATTAAATGTTAATTATAGGTTGGACCTTAACAATTAAACCATTTAATTAATTTTTGTATTACTCTAAATTAAAAATAAATATTTTTTTACAAGCGTACCAAGCCGTACCCGTACCCGTACCCTATTTTTTTTGAATTTTACCGTATCAACGTACCTGTATTGTATCGGTACTAGTACCAGTACTCGTACCCGTACTCGTGCTTCGTAGTTGGTGTGTCTTTGGGTAAATCTGAGGGCATGAAGACGGGGTTTTCTTCATCTTTGGCTTTCATCGATTGACTGAAGTCTATGCATCCTTGTTTGATTTGGGTTATTTTAGTTATCTATGTACTAGAGGAACAAATTTAGAAGTTATTCTTCAAAATTTGTGTAAACTATTTTTCCTTTTGTTTCTACAGTGTACACATCATTTTGGGACTGTCCTAAAGTGGAAGTGTCAGAGGTGACATGCATGTCATTGTTTGACTTTGGGCACTGTGCTCTTTAGTGTTTGGGTTACTTACTTATCAAACCAAGAGTTCTTAAGAGGGTTTACATATTTTTTTCAAGGTCTCTTCTAGTTGGTAGAGTCATTTTTGCAGATGAGTCCTTTTTTTTTTTGATCAAGCAGATGAGTCATTAAGTTCAAAAACTATGAACTTAAGTTGGAGTCATGAGACAGGAAACATAAATCCAGGAAGAAAGTTAAGCAGAACTACTATTGCCAGAGCAACACTTTCCTGCCCCAGTAAGGTCTACTTTGGATAGTTTGTACATGATGCTGTGGCAGTCACATTGCTCTGGACACAAGATCATTTTTACTCTCGCAGTCTCTGCTCATCTTGTACCATTTGGATGTCTTCTGCTTTCTATAACATACTATGACATCTTTCCTTGTGATTTCTATGCTTTGCTACCATAACTTGACATGTGTTACGAGAACAAAGCCTTTATCTATTAACTGGTCATATTTATGTCATCCTTGCATCACATGTTAAAAAATTCTTCTTCTTCTTCTTCTTTTTTTCGGAGTGTTTCATTTTAATCTGTAAGTTTCTCTCAGTCAGGAGTTCGACTTGTTCGTGGTATTGTGAAGGATGTTCAATCTGAGAAGATAATACTTAATGATGGTACTGACGTTCCCTATGGGCTATTAGTATGGTCTACTGGTGTTGGTCCCTCAGATTTCGTAAACAATCTTGAACTTCCCAAAGCTCCTGGTGGCAGGTAAATTATAAGTTCTGTTTTCAGCTATTCATATTTGCCGTACTTTTTGTTAGGCATCCAAAATGGGCTGGCTCATCCTAGCTTCTCCTGGGCTGGGTCAGACTCAGCCCAGCCAGGCTGAGTCAATCTCAAAATCCTGGGCCCAACCCAAGGAACTTGGTGTTTTTCTGGGCACACGCTTCTTTTTCTTTTCAAAATTTTTCTAAATAATTGGGCTGGGCTTCAGTCCAAATTTCATGCCTACTTTTTCCATCCAACTGTTGAACACTTGAACATCAGTATGTTCTTGTAAACTCCTTTTCTGCCTTTACTGTTTGCCGGATTAGTTTTCAAACATTATGCTTTGTCTGATGAAATGGATTTTTGTTGGTGTTCACTGGAAGAGAATAATAAAACATTCATGTTTACAGGATTGGTGTTGATGAGTGGCTACGTGTCCCTTCTGTTCAGGATGTGTTCTCAATTGGCGACTGTAGTGGGTTCCTTGAAAGTACGGGCAGACCAACCCTTCCAGCTTTGGCCCAGGTAAGTTGTGAAGAAATTCAGCTCATCAGATTTTCTACCAGTTGATGAAATTTTAAATATTTTAATATTTGAAGCTGAGGTGTTTAAATTATTGTACATTAAAAATATGGTAAAGGGAAGCCCAATGCAAAAGGCTACTGCCACTGCAGGGTCAAGGACTCCAGAGGGGTCAGATGTCCGCAACCTTATTGTTGCACGAAGGCCTGCTCTCTACTTTACAAATGCGGTCTATTGTTTGACGAGTGATAATCCCTTGAATTATGTCAATTGGCGAATTTGAGAGCACAAATTAGTTTGCTCATCAGGGCCAAAGAAAACATCTTCTCACTGAAAATTACGAGTTAATTCTTATAACTTGATGCCTGATGCTAAAATAGCAAAATTTCAGATCTCACATTCTAAACCAGTGGGTTGAGGCATCAAGTTATAAGTTTATGAGAAACAAATTAAAATCTTCAAATTAGATGTTGCCTTATGGAAATTGCATTGTAGCTTCTTAGTTATCATTCTAAAAGTTTTTAATTACTGTTGTTTTATTGGAAATTTCAATCCATTTTATATCTTTCCTTATACCAACTTATTCAATTTCATGGTTTGTCTGATCTCATATTCTAAAGCAACATAATTATGATGACAATAAACATACATTTGTTTTAGGTCATACCTTGAAAATAAAATGAACTCTTCAATGCTCTTCGTTGTGACAACTGACAATAGCTTATATCAGCTTATTCAATTTCTTGGTTTGTCTGATCTCACATTTTAAAGCAACAAAAGTATATAATGACAATAACCATACATTTGTTTTAGGTCATACTTTGAAAGTCAAATGAACTCTTCAATGCTTTTTGTTGTGACAACTGACAACTGGCCCTTATAGTGAAAGGACATTGTGGATAGGGGCTGCAAATGAATTGAGCTGCTTGCGAGCTCGGCTCGGTTTGGTTTGGTTTGACTCAGTTTGTTATGTATATAAATGAACCTGAGCCTGATTTTTGGGATCATTTAATAAACGAGCCGAGCTTGAGCTACAATAAGCTCGGCTCGTTTATTATTTATTTAAATAATTGGATAAATATATTTTTTATGTATTAAATAATATAAAATGTGTTATATATGTATATTTAATGTAGAATAATACTTTAACAAGCCTGAGCTTGATTATATAGGCAAACTTTTTCTTCATTATTGAGCTTCAAGGGAAACTCGAGCTGGACTAATTTTTAAGCGGAGATTGAGCTTGATAAACAAACAAGCCGAGCTCGAGTATTACAAACATTGACTCCCTTTGCGATGGTGATCAGTGGATATCCTAAACAATGATTTGCAATACAGACAAATATTATTCTGGCAGACTATTTTGAATGTGATTTTTTTTTCCCCCCTGCATCAGACATTTTTTAGTGACAGTTGCTTCAGGTGTAATTTTCAGCAGACTCGTTGCAGCTATTTCTGGTTCTCTGATCTTCCATTTGGGTGCTTGAAACAGGTTGCAGAGCGGCAAGGAAAATATCTAGCAAGTCAACTGAACAAGATTGGTAAAGCTGGTGGGGGACATGCAAATGCGGCAAAAGATAATGAATTAGGAGAACCGTTTGTCTACAAGCATTTGGGGAGCATGGCAACTATTGGCAGTTTCAAGGCTCTCGTGGACCTCAGGCAGAGCAAGGTAAATTCGTGACACCTCACAGCCTTCACTCTCTTTATGCTATTAACAAACGTAGTGTTGCTGAATTATGGAGCACTTTCTGTAGGAGGGGAAAGGGTTATCTATGGCAGGGTTTGTTAGTTGGTTTATTTGGCGCTCTGCGTATCTCACGCGTGTCTTAAGCTGGAGAAACCGATTCTATGTGGCAATCAACTGGGCTACAACTTTTGTTTTTGGCCGTGATATAAGCCGGATATAGATTGGAGTAGAGAAAGAACAAACGGTTTCGATGACAGGCTCCATAGTTATTTGGCCTTTTTAGACCATACTCCTGTCTTGCGGGAATTGGTGCACCATACTTGTCCACGACTCTGATGAGTTTTTCCATGTGTGATCGGGAATGGGATGCGATGAAATAGTTGCATACTGTGTGATTTGCTTCGAGCATTTATGTGATTTTCACTTAATAGTAGCAATGTGAAGAATGTAAGTTGGGGTTGCACAGATGAGCTTGGAATGAAGAAACTAGTGATGCATGTTTTCCCATTCGGATATACTACTAGTTCTATAATTTTTTTTTGTTGGCTGTCGACAATTTCACAATCCGTCTTACAATTTTTTCATTGTGAACTTAATAATCCTTGGTATTTTGTATTGAATTTTGTCGCTGAGCAATCATTCAGGAGCGCACTGGTAATATATCTTCGGTCTTTTGTATTGAATTTTTATAAGAAATGCTGAGCATTCATTCAAGAGCACACTTGGCAATAAGAATTCAAGCTGTAGTGGAAGAGGAACTTCTTGTGTTCCAAAAGCCTTTTTGTTTCTTGGGTTCATTGGAATGGAGGTCAATTGAAAATGGGATCATTCTTTATCTTTCTTACAGAATGATTATTCATTTATAATGATAAATGACAATTTTATTTGCGATGTATGTTTTCATACTTGCTGAAATTATCATGCTATTCATTTTTGTTCAAATGAACCAAATATAACACAAGTGTTATTGTTGAAATGGTATGCCAAAGTAATTTTTGGCTTGTTAAAGAGTTAAAATGTTATTTTTAGCAATGTTGTTCAAATGGTGCAAAGGAGAGTTATATTGCTATTTTTGTGAACCCTCATCGCAATGCGATAGAAAGAAAATTCTACGTGTGCCAAACTTTATGTTTTATTCAGTAAAAGATTCGACGATACTATAATGTTTATTTTAGCCATAATTTAGCCATAGAAGTTCAACGCTGTTAATTTAGCCATAGAAGTTCAACGCTGTTATTTTAGCCATTTATAATTTACTCTTCACTATTAATTTAGCCATAGAAGTTCAACGCTGTTCAAATGGTTTGCAGGAGAGAGAGGGAATTACATTGCTAATCACTTTCACTATTAGTTTAGCCGCAGTTGATTTTTTCGAAACATCTAATCAAATAAATAGCTTTCGCTATGAATTACTGATTGAAAGTGCTCTTTTGATTAGGCCTTCAGACCAAATAATGACCATTGTCCATTGGTTTCTAGATTTGGGCCCTCTTTCAAATTCAATGCATTCTTATAGTGCAATGGTGGGCAGGCAGGAGTAGAATCAGAATCCTCTACGGGCTCTCTCCTTCCCTCCCTACTTAAAATAGTCAAATCTAAACCGTTACATCATCTTAGGGTGCATCTCTACCATTGTAAGTAGGGAGATAAGGAGAGAGTGCAAGCTCTCACCCTAATTGGTGTTGATCTCCATGGAATAAATTCTTGTTATATCATAAACAACCATACATGTTTGAACTTCTGTATTTTCAAATTTCAACCCTTGGATTAGGCTTGTAACGTGGTTAGTGTCAGGCCTTAAACATGTGGGTCTTTTTTTTGGGTCAATGATTAATATAAATATTAAGAGAAATTACATTAATTTGACTAATTAATTATGTAAGATCTTATTTCGATGATTCAAATCGTTCAGAATGAACCCTCATTAATCGTACAACAATAAGTGTTGTGTTTTCCACTCAAAACCAATACAATAAAGAGTCCAATAATGACAAAGAAAGTCGACACCCAATGGAGGGATTGAGGGTAAAAAAATTTGCCCCACTTTACAAAAATCAATAAAATCATATTTTTATAAAATGTGTAATGTGAATTTTTATATAATTTTATACATTTAATCTCAATCAGATAATACTCACACTAAGTATATAAACACATATATTTTATTTTATATTTTTAATTTAATATCATCACATTAATAATTCTATTACTCAATCTTATCGTATTTATAATTTTATCTAATTTAATCTGCCAAACAAATATGATGAGTAAGAGTAGCTAATTGAGTTAAGTTGGTTGGTTAAACATGTGGGCCGTAGCTGTCTACACGAGGTTTTGCCTTTTGAGTGGGTGTCTTGTCTTTTATTGGCAATTATAGAGAGGCTTGTGATTTAATGACATTGGATTGGTTTCGTCGATCAAGAAAAAAACATGTGGGCCGTACCCCAATATTTTTGTGTTTTAATATTTTGTAACACTTGATAATAGTGCACAGCATAAATAAATGGCACTAACATGATTTTGTAATGTAATAATGTATAATTATTTCTTAATAAATATATTATTGTTTAGTACTCAACGGATGAAGTAGTAGATCAATACAATTTGTATTGAAAAAAATGAAATAAAATAGAATAGCTAAAGCATTGAGAGAGAAAAAAAAAAAAAAGAGAGAAAAAAAAAAAAAAAAAAAACATTTTGAGCACCTATTCTATTCCCAAAAATAGAAAAATTATCAATTGATGTAAAAATTTTATTTGGTAAATTATTTTTGAAAATATTTTTTGAAAAAGAAAAGCTCTTAACACAAATTTTTTTTTTTTTTTTTGTAGAAAACATTATAATTTTTTTTACAAATTTTTGAAACCTAATTTTACTAAAATGGGAAAAACGAAGTGAAAGGTGTTACTAAACTAAAGGGTTAAGATAGGAATATAAGATAGACATTTGGAAAAGGGTTAATTTCATTTTTATTCTCTTTTAACTGTTGCTAAATTTTTTATTTATATATTTCATCTCTAAATTATTAATTTTACCTATTTAGTCCGTAAATTCTAGTTTATATAATCTAATTCAAGATAGTCCATTCAAAGTATTAATGATGGAAATCTAAACTAATGAACACAAATGATAATTCTACAATTAAAACAACTTAAATCATACAAGCTATATCAGATCACTTATAACGTACAATCATAAACCTATATTCTTCTTCACCTCTCATTTCAAAATAGTGAATAAAAAAAATTGAATATCTAGTTGTTTAGTTTAAATTGTTTAAATTTTAAAATAACATATTTTTACTCATTTAATTAGGTTTTAACTGTTATTAGTTTGGACACTCATCTCCAATTAGATCACATTAACTGAAATTAAAAATTTTAAAAACTAAATATAATAAATTAATACTTTAATGATGAAATGAAAAAAAATAATTATAATCTTGGAGATATAAATTAAGAAAAATGATTTAGACCTTTAAAAAAACACCTCTAATAGAGTTTTAATTTGTCTTTTTCTTCCCCCTTTTTTGTCTTTTACTTCACTGTTTTTTTTTATTTTTTATTCCTAGACAGCTCATTAGAGCTGTACGGCAGAAACTCTAATTAGAGCTCTGCAGCAGCTTCCTATAAATTAATCCTCGAAGAAATGAGCTTGCCAATGATACTGTTTGCTATAGTTTATTTGAGTTGCGTAATTATTTATTTTTAGAACATATACCAGACTATATAATGTAAGTTTATTTATAGTTTATTATATAAAAATAATTTAAAAAATAATTTGAAAACTGAAATATGTGTTTTTAATTTATATATTTTTATTATTAATTTTTAACTTATACCGACAAACCCAATAATTTGGTGAACTTAGGCCTCGTTTGGCAACAGGCCGGTTTAGTCAAAAAGTCAAAAAGTTACTAAAAAGGCTAAAAAACCAACAACCCATACAAAAAAGTCAAAGATTCTCTTTTCTCTCTACTTTTTGCACATCTTTTCGTAAAAAGTCAAAAAGTTATCCCAAATATACTAATTTTTTTTAGCTTATATTTTAGCCAAATAGTCAAAAAGTTAAAATTAGTTTGTTCTCAAACGAGGCCTTACTCCTCCATGCACATGGGGATTGAGGGATAGATGAGAATACATTTAGACACATGGAAATTTTGGCAATATTTAACAAGATTTGGGGTCGTTGTTGTGTGGGGTGTACATTAGTCACTGTTGTGAAGCTAAATAGGTCCATTTCGATAATTCGAACCGTTCACATTTTAAAATACATCAAATAGAACATATCTGTAAAAAATCAAATTAATCGGATATCATTTACTCATTCATCCACTCATATTTGAATTTATAAAAATAAATAACAATTGTGATTTAAAATATCAAAATGGATACAAATGTGAGCGGATAAAAGGGTAAACGATATCCAATTAATTTAATTATTTTATAAATATGTTCTACTTGATGTATTTTAAAATATGAACGATTAAAATTATCAAAATAGACCCCAAAATAGATCTATTTGACCACACATCAACTACCCCAAATCTTTCAACATTAACAGAACATTATTTGAAAATTACTAAGGTTTTAATTGAAAAAAGTAGAAACCCATGGGCCCATTATTGGTTGGCAAAGGCTAAAAGCTAACCCGACCACACGACAAAATATGAAACCTATTTTTCTTGCTTGGTCGATTTAAAAATAAAAAACTGCTTTTTAACACCCCAAAAGTAACCCTCAAAGCTCTTTTTTATGTCTACATGAAGTATTTATTTATTTATTTATTTTTAAGGTAGGCAACTAGAACCTAAGTACTTGTTTTTTTTTTTTCTTTTCTTTGGAAACGGACTAGAACCTAAATGTCTTATTTAAACTGCGTTTCAGAACATCTTCAATACGAAAAGGCATTTTAACCAAATCGCACTTTATCCAATTTTGAGTCATCCACATATAGGTTGATAAATGAATTAAATTATTTGTAAACTCATTAAAAATTCTTTTAAGATTAATTTATTAAGTAAACAAATTAAAATTAAATATAATTTTTAAGTTTAGTTTGAACTAACTACCTATTAATCGGCTCAATAAACTTATATACGTTATAAAAAATCAAGTTATTTGTGTTCAACTTGTTAAAAAATTATTCAATATCACTTTGTGAGGTAAATAAGCAAAGTTTGAACATATTTTGAAACTATCAAGTTTGAACAACCTACTACTACTTCCTGTCTAATCTGATTGTTAGGTAGACGATGTTAACTTTCTAACTGATTATGAGTTAGTAGTATCTTTGATGATATAATATTTTTCATATTTGTAAAAAAAAAAAAAAAGAAAAAGAAAAAAGACTAAGTAGTGATCTTATAGGTGTCTAATCTAATTTGCAAAGAAAAAAATATATACACAGATAAAGAAACCGTCGGCTGTGATTCAGACCCCCAGCTGGGGCACCCCCAGTGACCCCCAGCGCCACATGGCACTCTGCCAGTGGCTGAAACCAAAGAAAAAAAAAAAAAAAAAAAAAAACAGTTTTTTGGCCAATCAGGAGTGACCCCCAGTACCCCCACGGGGTCTTAAGCTTTATTCAAGAAACCGTTTTGTTGTCAATAGTTTTATTTATTTACTTTATTGTTTAATTATATGCACTTTAAAGAAACCAAGCCACCGAAATATTCGCAAAGTCTTGGTCTTTAAGTCTAGCATAAAAACACTATATATAAAAGTAAAAGCTTAGCATCAAAAAATTCGTAGGTCAAATTCTCATTTCTGTAAA